ATGCGTGCCACTGAGCCTAATTGGTCGTTCAGTTGAACGACCAATAGCATTTTCGATCCGTCTCACTGAAGTATGCGGCGCATTCAACTTTGCGCAAGTCCTTGATTTTCCGTTGGACTTTCAGGTCCGACAAAACCGAAAGTTCGGTTCGGCCAATCTCCAGCTAGCTTTCAGTCTCAAAACCAATATTTGTTGATGACTTCAGATCATGTTTATTGTTTTAGATGGGTTTTGTAAGTATCCGCTGCGTCCGCGGAGTTCGTCATTGTACAAGTGAAGTACAGCCTTGGTCCGGTTTCACGGATTGCGCAACCCCTTACCGGGGTGCATCGTCACGTACGTGTACGTACTGCGCGGACGCAGCGAATAGTTACAGTATGTAAAAAGACTTAAACTGGCAAATGGGACTTTGGAATTCCAGATTTTCGCGAGGACCGTCTGGAGAAAGAAATAGGAAATAGGGATATAGGAATATTAGAAGTTTCTTTCCTATTTGCCATTCCGAAGGTATTCGGCTTGGAATTTACAACCTTAGTTTCCACACTTGTGATATCGCCGTTCTGTACAGCTGGAGGACTATGGAGAGTATATGGGCTCTGATACCAAGAAACGTTCGATACCAAATAATACCATATACTAGTGATGTTCTATCATAGCGATATTTTATTGAAGTAGATGATAATAGATGATTTGAGCATCTGCTATATTTAGTAGTATGTAGTAAACGAAATTGGGCTCCGCATTCTATTATTCATATTTTAGAAGCTTGAAACCGGAAGTGCGATATTTTATTGTAATTAATTTGTCCCTTATCTATAGTAAAATATATTTTAATACGGGTAACGCTACCGCTGATTCGAAAAACTGGTTGATTTGCTGAGTTCTGATGCTTGTGCGTTGGTTTCTCGATGTGCGACCACGCCTTATATACAGTGCGCCACACCATAATAATGCCTCTACAGCAGCACAGTAGGGCTACTGCAAAATAAATACCCTTGAACATCGTGCACCTGCATACAGTCTGACACTTCAACCGGACATGTTACAGTGTGCAGGTGCAGGGTGCAAGCTGTACCACAGTAGTTGCTACTGGAATACTGCCTTCTACAGGTTGCTTGCCTGGCCTTTCCCCTATTTGGAAAGAACTGCCAGTTTGTCAGAGAGTCATGGGCCACCGTCGCGGACAAAGCCCACAAAGATCGCGAGGAAGAAGCTACCACCGGAAAGAGGGAAAGTTCCTGTAGGAGCTGCAAGAGTAGCAAGCCCACCAGTAATCGACATTGCGGAAAACGACGACAGTTCAGACTCCGAAGATGACTCGTCTCTACCGCCTTCGACATCGTCTTCCGGTCGATTTTCCCAAAAGCGTAAACTACCCGGTGGTCCAAAGAAAGCTTCTTCAGTATGGCGGCACTACACGGAGGATGCTGTGACGGGTGCGTCAACGTGTAAAGCCTGTAAACATGGAGTGAAGCCAGCTGGCAAAACCGGAAACGCTGTGTCCCATCTGAAAAACCGTCATCCCGACGCATTCGCAAAGTACGAAGAGAAAGACCTCAAGAAGAAGAAGTAGGACAACTCAGCCACAGGCATTGCCATGATCCAGTCCAAGCTGAAGCTTGAATCATCAAACCCGTATGAGGTAAGTCAGCTTCTGCTGTTGCTTGTTCCTGTTTCTGTTTGCTCTCTCCGTCGATCTGCTTTAGGCTACATATTCTGCGTTTTGACTGTAGATATCGAATGATGTTGCGCGAAAGGGCCTTGCGGATTTTACGCACAACGGCGACTCCATCCTTATGCGCGAATCCGGCTACCCAACGTGCTTTCGTGAAGCATGATCCTCGTTCCCCTGCGTTTGGAAGGAAAGTCCTGAATACGGAAATGGATAAGGTCTATGAGCAGAAGCTTGTTAACATGAAGGCAGTGCTTCGTCGTACCACAAAGATATCTCTCTCTACAGGTGAATCGGAATCACCACGGCGGCAAACGAAATTTGCAAGACTATTCCTTTAAGTGGCGAATGTTCCTGTTGTTATTTGCTGAAAGTCTGCGCCACTTGGACGAGTAGACTTGGTGACATTACCTGTTGTCACAAGTGGCGCACGTTTCGGTTTTGTTGGCTGAAAGTATGCGCCAGCTGGAAAAGTGATGTTGTCCAAGTTGCTTACTGACATTACAACTAATTGTAATCTTGAGCGGATACTATTATGACTGCAACCAATGTTTGCCGTTATTATTTACAGACATCTGGACTAAACGCGGTATGTCTGAGTCGAAGCTGGCGGTAACGGCGCGGATATATGATCCCCTCACGAAGACGATGCGAAGAATGACCCTGGCCTGTCGCACTTTTCCGAGTCCACACACTGCTGTTCGTTTATTCAAGCTTACGATGGAGATTCTGACTGAGTGGGAGATTCCTCCATATACGATATCCGCCGTAGTGACAGACAACGGTTCAAACATGGTGGCCGCTCTCAAAGCCCTCGTTCAGTCAAACATTCCGGTAAATCTTGACGAGTAAGACTAGGAAGAAGCACAGCCAAGTGTAGTTTCGGCTGAAACGGAAGACGCGAACACCCAGGAAGAGGTTAATGAGTACATGAGGTTCGAGGATGAATGCGATACCGAGTTTAACGGAAGGTAAGTTTACAGTGCCTTATATGTATACATTTCCTAGGAAAACAGAGTGACAAGATGGTTTTTCGAGTGGCGCACGCTTTCAGGCAATAACTGCGCGACAATGGAAAACGGTTTTGTTTGCCGTTCGTTTACTTAGCTCCCACATTACGTTCATAAGGAATATAAATAATTTCTGCTTTGCAAGTATCAGGGTCAACCGCACATCATGAGAAATCTTTTCTGTTGCAGAATCAAGCGTCACAGTTGTACCATCCATCGGCTACAGACCGCGGTTCGAGTATTCGAGAAGGATGACAAGCTGGAGCCGATCATCAAGAAAGCCAGAATTATAGTCAAGACTTTCCGAATGTCTCAGGTAGCTACGGGTGAATTTCTGAAGGCTACCGGACTAACCTTGATCGCAGATATCTCAACCCGATGTAACTCCACTATGCTCTTAATGCGACGACTCGATGAAGTTCGAGAACCCGTGAAAGAGATTATGGCTCGTCACTTGAAGATCCCTGGTCTAACTCCTGGTGAATGGCTCATCATCAAGTTCATAATACGTCCACTGGAGAAGTTTAATACGGTAAGCACGTCTCTGAGCTATCCCTTTACATTTTCTGATTAATTCAGAAATTTTCGGTTCGATGTCGTATATATTCAGTATTTCGCAGGTTACGGACAAACTCAGCGCAGATAAGGAAGCGACCATCCACCGGGTTCCCTTTTATCTGCACGGACTAGTCAGGCATCTGGAATCAGTTCGCGATGCACTTCTCAAGCTGGACTTTCCAAGCTTCCATATTGAGAACCCATTCGATGAGGTACTTAGCCACAACTGAGACTAAGAACAAGATGTGCTGTGGTACTTCACTTTGAGCTTTCAGATTCTCGGCAAACACTTTGCTACGAGAAATCTTACTAGGGACAACAGTTGAAATCTATCTTAGTTATGATGGTGTACAGTGTTCGTGTGTTTCGCTTAGGTCATTCTTGCCATTGATTCCGAGCTATCGCGCATGCCGGGATACGTGATAGATGATCGCAACCCAAAGTTCGATGCTGTCTACATTGCGAGCACATTTCTCCATAGGAAACTGCGACTCACATTGCCACAGCGACTGTCTAGGCTTGCTTCGAGATGGCTTTCGTTGAAAAAATATTCAGTGGTATGTGGAACCCACGCAAGGTAAACACATCCTGGTTACATGTTATATGATTTACCGTTTTTACGAGGCTGAAAAAATAACACTTTGCTGTTTTTCAGAAACATTGCCAGAATCGACTGCACTGAACGTGAACAGTAATCCTGATGGCGATGACGACTTGGATTTCTTCATCGATGAAAGTTCAGACTTCACGCAACAAAAATCCCCATTTTACTTGGAAGTTCAGACCTACATAAACCTTCCTGTCGGCTCCGAAGACAACGTTGATGACGACCCGGAAGTCTTCTGGATACAGAATACGGATAAGTTTCCTTTATTGGGTCGTCTCGCTTTGGACATCCTGGCCATTCCCCGTGCTTCGAGTGCGCCCGAAAGAGTCTTCTCTGCCGCATCGGCTGCAACCATGGGAAAGGGAAACAGACTGGCTGGTCACAATCTCGAAAGAAAAATTCTCTATCTCCGAAGTTCAGAATACTTGCCCGATCTTGACGATTAAATACTTGAGATGTTGCGATCGAATAATTAGCAGTATTTCTGCTGTTCTGATGGTTGTGATTCTGAATCTTCAGTTCTTCCGTCAAGCTCTCCGATATCAAAATATGTTTTAATAACAAACCCCCGAAAGTCCTACTATAGTAATATTTTATTAAATCAGGTAGACGTTTTACTATAGTAGTGGTCACTTATTAGAACTTTGGTGGACGGCTGATATTTATTTGTATTATGTTGGATCTCATTAACCCATATTAGAACATAACTACCATACACGACCCGGCTTGTACCAGAGTCCATATACTCTCCATAGTCCTCCAGCTGTACAGAACGGCGATATCACAAGTGTGGAAACATAATCTTAAAGCCGAATGGACCAAACGACATGAACACCAACGCACTCGTTTCTGCTCATAAATGGCAAGCGAGCACCCTAGGGCTGCATGTACTTGTCGCGTCTTAGTGTGTAGTACGAAAACCGTCGTGCACCATCCTGTAGCTAATGGGCGGACGAGTGCACGGACCTGAACCAATCAGAGCTCGGGCGTTTCCGGGTGTTCGCTCAGCCGAGCTAGAAGTTTCCCAAACAGCTGATTCGGTTTGCCGTTGTTGGCACTTCTTGCAGTCGACGCTGGGGGTCTATGGAGAGTATATGGACTCTGTTGGTATGCAACAACTCCGATACAAGTCTACCATCGAGCGGCAAAAGAACGCCTGCAACACCTAGTGTTCCCAAGCGGTCACCCATTTGAGTACTATAAACCTGGCTTGACGTAGCTTATCTTTCGAGATCGAACGGGATCGGGAGCATTCAACGTGGTACGGTCGCAGGCAAATTCCGTGCAGTTTCAATCATGGAAAGTGGTCAGAATCCGCGTTTTTGCTCCAACTTTCGTGGCACGTGTTGTGACACTCATTTTCACCGCCGCTGCACTGCACGAGATTAATTTAACAGCCAGGACTTGAAACCTCGAACTCCGGAGATCCACCATGTGGAAACGCAACTCCCGTTCAATGGGACTTGCCGATCTACAGTACCCATTGGAGAACCATTTCGGCCTTTGATCTGCGCGACCTTACAAAATACGACTTCCTCATCTCGTTCTCCATACTGACGAGGCACCATTCAAACCATGTCACTCGCCGATCAAGGAACCAATGCTTTTTTGTGGTAGCTGAGACTCTTAGCTCCCACAAAGTATCGAGAAGAAACGCGAATGACCAATTCCTGGAGCCGAAGAAATTGTCTTGTGTCGGTATGTGTAACGCTGTGCTTGTACAGCAAGCCCGAGAACGTGCTGTGTTTGCGTACGCTCGTAATAAAGCACCTTTTACTCGTCGTTAAGTTAGGAGACCGCTGTCTTGGTTGACGCAACACTCGATCCGCAAGGTTTTGTTTTATGGGAAAGTTGAGGAGCAGTAATCAGAGTCATTTAACGGTAGCAATCAAATAATTTAGGAGAAAACAACAATCTCAAATCACGCGTCTCTACAAGAGCAGGGCAAAATGCGACGGCGAACTTGCCGTTCACTGTGTAACCACGCATCAGATGCAAACCCGAGTATCCTCAAGAGCTAAAACGAAACTTAAGTAGTCTCCGTTAGTATTCTCGTGAGTAAGACAGTTTTCAGTAACGTAGAAGAAGTGCGGATAAAGTAATAGCTAAGGACGAACTTGTAACAAAGTAAAAGGAAGTTCCAGAATTCAACTTCGATATTGCGCATCACCTTCTAGGCGACAGCATTAGCGCGGATCTTCCCCGAGCCCTGTCGTCTACGGGTAAGGAAGGACAGCACCAATATCAGCGAAGCGATGACAGACGCAGCTATCAGTGCAACCGCACTGGCCCAGAAAGTAACCGTGTAGTCCCCGAAAGCTCCGTACAGTGCACCTGAAAAGATGGAAACCTCACCTCGAATCTCGTCAAAGTTTCATCGACGAAGGAGACTGCTCCAACTCACCTCCAATAGGTGCGCCGACCATTGAAGCGATACCGCGAACCAGTTGCGACTGTCCAAAAGCACTGGGAAGCTGTTCCAAACCAATGCGACTGGTCAAAATGATGGACAAGAGGGAAATGAACGGAGCTAAAATGACAACACCACCGTCAGCGTATTTCGCTAGATGCTACATGAAAAGGGTCGACACTTACAGACGAAGAAGCCGAAAAGTAGGCAAATACCCATCAGCGAATTGTAGTCTGCGCAAAGTGGAAGGAAACCCACTACGATACCGACAACAAAGATACAGCAGTTATGGATGACCAGAGGATCCATGCGTGGTCGATCGGCCAACCATCCCCAGAAGATACGTCCAAGAATGTTCGTCAAGCCGATACCGGAAATCAACAGAGCCGAGGTACCCTTATCAATCCCGAACTGTCTGATAGCGTGGTCGGGTACAAATGCAAAGGGAATATAGAAGGCAATCATGCCTAGAAAGCTAGCTAAGCTAAAGATGAGAAACACGAGGTTGCCGTAGATGCGGAAGTCGGCCATCTCAACCAGAGCCTGGCGGAGTTGCGGTGGCAGCCAACCCTTCTTGGGAGGAACCCCGGAAGCGGCGGCGTGTTGCTGTCGTCGAGTGAGACTGTCCTTTCGGAACTGCTCCACTTCCACTTGTTCACTCTCCTGCCGGTTCAGATGCTTCAAGCTACCTTGAACGTGGACGTCTTTGCGTTCCAGCGGAGCCGCCACTTCATGACTTCGGTGGACACCGGGAACCATCATTGGGTCGTTGATGTCAGGCTGCGAAGAGTGGAGTTTGACCGGTCCTGAGCGAATATCGTGCGTAACGCGACCTGAATTACACAAAAAGCTAGAATACTGATTTTCACAAGTGGCGCTCGTTTACGGTGTTATTGGCTAAAAGCTTGCGCCACAAGATCTTGTCGCTCCGTTCGCAGATGTGCCAGTTTTACATTTGGAGTTACTCTTGAGCAAAACTCAAACGCACCGTGTTCTAGAGTCTGGATATCGATGCCATGCTGCGAAGAGTACTTCCTGGAAGAGACCAAATCCATGCCTTTTGTGGACGCACCGGAAGAACTTCTGACGCGACTGCCTCCCTTCAGGTCTCCGGTGACAGCTGCTCTCTCCAGATCTCCCACCACCTTGACTTCTTCAACCACGTCGACAGCCAGTGTTCTCATCAAGGAACCAGCAATACAAACCTGGAGGACTAAGCCGGCCAGAATCAACATCGACCCTTGCCACCCGTACTCGTCCAGCACCATCTGAATGAGTGGTGGGAAGACGAAAGCTCCCACTCCGGATCCGCACACCGAGATACCCACCGCCATAGCGCGTTTCTTGTCAAAGTAGTAGCACACACAGAGAATGGAAGGAGAGTAGATCAACCCGAAACCGATGCCTGAAGAAAACAGACAAAGGACTTCTATACATGTAGCACTCTTCGTTATCATTTGTAAATTTATATCATTGATGTTCTTTTGTTTTTCAACATCCTCCTTTCACAAAAATTGTCGTTCCTCCGATGGAAAAGTTCCTTTATGGATTTTCGGCGCTTCACTCCGTACTGGAATACGGCAAAGAAGTCTGACAGGATTATTTCGCCAAATGGCGCACGTTTTCAATGTCACTGGCTAGAAATAACGATCTTGTCCTTTGTATTTGCCTACAATCCTACAACTTTTTGATACAGGTTTTGATTTCTGTCAGCTGTACCTCCCAGAACTCCGAACGACAGAATTAGGTAGGTAATGCTCCGGGCGAATAGACTGATGATGAAGGCCATACAGGTAATGAGTGCTCCGGAGAAAATGACTACGCGGAAGCCGAATGCATTTGTCAGTGCACTGGAAACGGGTCCTGCAAAGCAGAAGAGCTAACTTCCACTAGCGCTACTTTAGCGGAATTGACTTTGATTGACGGTTCTCAACCTCCTGTGACGACAAGTCTTACCCATGAGTAAATAAACGCCGTTGAGTAATGATATCGTGAGCGAGACTGTGGACTTGGCGGCATCCGGAAACGCGTCGGACCACGCCACGATATACTGCGAGCCCGAGTACGCCACACCGTCCACGATGAAGTTGCAAAAAAAGGAAGCGACAACAATAACCTGCAAAACAAGAGGAGAAAATTCTATTGAAACAAATAACTTTTCCTTCAAAAGAAGACAGCAACAAAAATTGAAAAAAGGAGACTAAATTAAAACCAACAATTATGAGGACCCGATTCTTCCCCTCTTTTCCCTTTACCGAAAAATTCATCCTCGTAAAAAACAATCTAGACGTAAACTTAAAAATGGCCAGCAACTGGGAGTCTGGGACGTCGGCAAATGAATTTAGTCAGATCGTTCCACTCAAGTAGCACACGCTCTTACCCAATAACGATGAAAACCTGAACCACTTGAGCTAACGATCGGGGGAGAATTATTAGCTGACGTCCCAACACGACTCAAACTACAAATGTAAATTTCACGAATTTCGAGGGAGCTTTCTTTACCCATCCATATCCGCTGTCAGGTGCTTTAGGAACAACTTTGACGTCCTCTGGAAACACAAAAAAACAATTGAAAATCAAACCTGCGAGCGTTTTACTATGGAAGTCAAAAGATATTCGCGTTTTAGTCTGTGATTCTAATTGCCGATACAGTTCAACTTGGCGAACGAGCTTTGAACTCGTCCAGCGGGACAAAGTGCCCTGTTCGACTACCCTATAATCTTTTCAGCTCATTCATCGAGATTGACGAGGCCGCCAACGTCAAAAGAGGGAACAATGGAGGGAGTGATGGCTTTATAACCATGTTGTATTCCCTCTTTTTCTTCCTCACAGCTCCGGGGGAAAGAGAGCGCGGGATCAACTTTACTTTGTCGTGGTGCTCCACGAACTCCGACAGCGTTGCCCGTCTATTTATACAGGCAACTCAAACAGATCGCGTCTCCAGAATCACATGATCACCATACGCATTTGGATGCTGACTTCACACTAAAGCTATTTGCTATGCGGCTCTGTGGAAGCTCCAAGCGAAGATAATGTAAGAAGGGCATTAAATCTCGTTACATAATTCAAGATAGGCAATTGAAAGCATTGAACATTCGAACCAATAGCATTCTGATTAGAGGGATTGCAGACAGACATGCGGGCAAAAGATTGCAGGGACGGTTTCAAAAGAGGGGAGCCATTAATGGCGCGCTCATTTCGATGTCGTCATCTTGCTTCGCTTCTCATCGAAATTCCGCCTCCCTTTCAAAGATCGAAAGAGACTATTCTGAATCCTTAAAAACTCAATATTGATCGGGGACTTAAAGTGTACCGTGTGATAAACGAATCCGTGCCCTACATCATCCCCTGAAGATGATCACTCAGCGGACACCGAATCGTTGGTTAAAATCTGTAAGATTCTTCCTATCGACTAAGCAGACTTTGCGCTTCATGGAAGTTGTCTCGCTGCACGAAACTGTATGACAAAAAGCGAGAATGCCCTAAGGAATTCTATGAAGTCTACGGACAAAGGCTTTTTGAATGACAATGAGCATCCTCTCCAAAAAACAATGATCAGATTTAATTTAAATGCCGAAGTCAATGAAATATATACGCTCAAAGAAAAGCCCTTCATCGGATATCGCGCTTTTACTCCTCCGAGGTTGCGTGAGGTTTAAATTCGGCCGAGTTTGTGTGACAACCGGCCAGACTAGAATTTACTATTGCGAAATCGGGAATATTACTGAAGATAACAGATATGCGATATGGAATGTAAGGGGTGTTACTTACGAACGGTAGCATTTTGCAGCGGCGTGAGCTCATGAGCTTCTTCTTGTTTCGTTAGAACTCCTCTACCATTCAGGGATCCAGGCGCGGGAT